CTATATATATATATATATATATATATATATACTGTATATACACACACATATATGTACACACACACACACACACATTTGATGATTTTTTTATATATACATATATCATCAAATGTTTGGAATACTTAAGGTGTTCCAATGTTTTTGAAAGATGTCTCTTATTAAAGCTGCATTTATTTGATCAAAAATAAGTAATATTGTAAAATATTGTTACCCTTTAAATATATATTGTATTTATTTATTTATTTAGGAATCCCAATGTGCATGGTTTACTCAATCAGCATTAATACATTGTAAATGTTGCGTTCACTGTTACATTTGACATTTTTTTTTAATTCAGATAAAGTCAAAGGAATTTGTTTCAGTCTTTTTAAATATTGACCTATCGTCACATTATTTTCAAGGTCTGTGTCCAGAGTGTTCCTTTAAACTAAACCATCATCACAAGTAAGAACATTCAGCCATTACGAACACAATTACATCTTCAGATATTCTTAGACCTGGAGACCTCGACTTTTAAACTGTGATACCTGTTCCAGGAGAAAGGAAGTAACAGTGAAGAAGAGACGGCGATCAAAAGAGAACGTGGACAAGTCACTGTCAAAGACATCCAAATCATCCAGAAAGCACAAGCGCAAACACAAAAAGAGGCGCAAAGGCAAGTACATTTTCATTGCAAATCAAGCTTCCAAACATTTCCCAAGACATGGAAGATTAGGAAAAGCATTTCACTGCCTGTATATGCTTAACTTTGTTGTATTTTTGCAGTGGTGTTTTGTACTCTAGTTAAGGTCTTTAAAAGAACCAGAAAAAACAAAACAAAGGAATGCAAACTTGGTTTAAATTCTAGAGTTTATGTTGACCAAAGTTGCTTGTTAAATAAAACCATTTTTTTCTGTACAGAATACTCATCTTCAAGTTCAGAGGAGTCCCAGGGTTCAGATAAAGGTATGCATACCACTTTTTCCACCAAAAATGACTAATGGCTGTCATCTAGCACCCTCAGGCAGAGAATGTACTCAGTATAGCTTAATAACTAGACCTCTGAAACAACTCCACTAACATCTTTATTCAGACAAATCCCAGGTAATAGCAGATTTTGGATGGGGCATTTCAATCCCTGACCTTAAATATTGCACGTGGGCATGTAACTCACCCCACACTGAATAGTTCTTTTACCACAAAACCTTTATCAGGCATAAATCCTGCTATAGCAAGAGATATGTGAGTCTGATGCGGTGTGTTCTCCAGATGCAGAGGGTGGAGAAGAAGAGGAAGAGGGTCCTTCAGAGTCAGACCACTGGAGGGGTCCAGCGCCCACCGTGGAGGAGAAGTCACGGTGAGTCCCGTTTATGAATCATTACGATATATTTTACTACAATGTGGAGTATATATACACATAAATGTGAGAAATGTGTTTCTAAAGCTCTTGAATGCTGGGAATGTTTTTCTAAAAACGTCTGGTTCTGCGTCTGGTTCTGTTTCAGGGAGGAAGAGTTTGACGAGTATTTTGAAGACATGTTTCTCTGAGTCGAGGAAAGGAAGATCCAAGAGAATCTCATGCCTACTGTTTTCTTTTATACCGGTTAGCTTTGTTTTTGAGAAGTGTAGTTTGATTACAATTTGGTGATTATTATTTACATTTTTTGTAATCATTTCTACTGGGTTTCATTCAAGCATAAAATGTGCATGTGTAGGCCTTATTCATAAAACATTACCACATTTTGTGTGTGTATGTGTATATGTATGTATATATATATATATATATATATATATATATTCATAGAAATTCATAAAAGTATTATGTCAGTTATTGTTGCATTGTGAACACACACATTCAAATTTATACAAAAATTAATTGTGTATATATGAGCAATATTACACTTGTATTATTTTTAAAATTATATGTGTGTGTGTGTGTGTGTGTAAAATTATATATATTAGTGCTGTCAAATGATTAATCGCGATTAATCGCACGGTGGGGACCTAAATTGTGGTCCCCACGGGTACAAAAGCTTATAAATCATACAGAATGAAGTTTTTTGAAAATCTCAAAATGCAGAAAGTTTCCTGTAAGGGGTAGGTGTTGGTGTAGGGCAATAGAATAAACGGTCTGTACAGTAGAAAAACCATTATGCCTATGGAGAGTCCCCACAAGGATAGCTGACCAGACGTGTGCGTGTGTGTGTTTGCAATTGACATAATTGCACAAAAATGAAATTATAAAGCGCTTGTAAAATCGTTTTTATGTATGCATGCAACATCTGATATAATAGTTTTATGACTGATTCGTGGAAATATTTGTTCTGCTCAGATTTTGTATGAATGAGTGTTTATCAGTATAAGTGTTTGTTTACTTACTTTTAATGTTTAGTGAGCTCAAATAATTATACTGAAGAGATATTTGGGTTCCTGTAAGTACAGCAGTCAATAACAGTATTTTAGGAACCCATAGTTAACAAGCTACTGAGTTTACAGGCAGACCCTATCAATGTTTGTTTAATCTGACCCATTAAATGTTGACAGAATGACATACGTGCTGTTGTCCCTTATGCCTTGAAATCACAAACGCATTAGCACTGGGTTTTTAAAATGGACAGACTTTCTATTTTATACCCCTCACGTCAGCCTCTCGGGGCAAGCTCACTTGGTCACGGTAGACTGTCAGACTGCCCCGGGCCTCGGCTTACCCAATGGTGGCTGCCAGCCAATCAATGTGAAGAATCAGTCAGATGGGGTCAGAAAGCCTTTTGTTCACTCTGATCCGTTATTCAGCATGTATAAGTTCCCATGTGATTGCATTTTTGATGCATTTCTGTGTTTCCACAAATCATAAAATGACAGGTGGAGTCTAGAGTTATAAAAGTTAAGCATGAAGCCTTTGGCTCTATATTGAAAGACCCATAGAAAGAGAAGTCGTTTGTCTCGGCTGTCAGCCAATTACCTGAGCCTCTTTACCTGGGGATGATCCAGCTTTATTAGGTAATCCGCTGCATTATAGAAAAGTCAGGAGAGGTTCCTCCTGACATGCCCTCTAAGCAACCTAACAGAACTGTGTGGTCACAGAGACCTCAAGCTAATAGCGGATATGGTCAAAGACTACTTGAGACTCTGGAAAGCTCAGAATAATGTCTTTATTTGTTCACGTGACATCATTTACAGTATATGTGTGGTAGTATTAAGTAAATAAGATGATCGGATATCAGTCCCACACTCACTCCAAATGACAGTAGATATTATTATACACAATCCTAGCAAAATGCATTAACCTGAGATGAGATTTACTCACATTTGGCCTCTTCAGTCTGATCTGGACTTAGAGGGTTTGACATTTAAGTGTAGTCACTAGTTCCAGTGAAGTTATTTAGACTGCCGTGGCCCCTGTTATTGGATTAAAGGCCTTAACTGATTTTTCTAACAAGCGGATATTGCATAAGATTATATTTTTTTCAATGCATTTACTACATCTCTCCATAGGTTACTTGTTTTTGTCGGTGCCTGGTGTTTTTTCTAAAGCAGAATGACCTATTTTTGATATCAGTGGTTCATTCGCTAGTTTTAACAGTTACCGCTGTCATCAGATTCTCAAAAGATCAGAAAAGAGAGACTTTGACCTCACGAATTGGGTTTGTGCTGTCTGCCAGAGGAGATATCTAGAGGCTTCAGTAGTCTGCTTTAAATAAGCATGGTATTTAAAGATTAAAATGGAGTGAATCTCAGGAGCTGCTCCCCCATCAAACTCACTTCAAATCTCCTTATAGGTTTACATGTTCAAGTACTGACCGTTCCCCCCTGCCTTGTCATAGCATGCAATGCACTTTCTTTAAATATTCCCTGACGTTTTGTATGCCCTGCTATGTCTCCATAGAATACCACTTAAACATCATTTAAATGTTTGGTATCAACAAATAACTCTATGTTATCAATTGATATTCTATGTAATACACTCATATTCAATAATACATTATGGTTGAAAACTATGTGTGATGCTTAGATATCAATAAATGATTAAAGAACAAACATCAAACTTCTGGTCATAAATGTTCTCCACATATTCACAGAATTAGCCATGTCGCATTCTCAGCTTCATCTTCTTTAGAGAACAAAAAAGTAGAAAAGACATCCATCCAAACACAACTGCGACAAGCAGATGCAAATGCAACTTACAAGATCTTTAGCCTTGGCAGTGCCATCTTTCCTTTGAACAACTCGTAGTCAGTGTGCAAGACTTGTAGCATGAGATCTTTGTGCATTTCACAAAGCGCTTGCTAATAAGCTTCTAAAAGCTTATTCAAATGAGTTGGTCCTTCAACCCTAAACAAAGCAACTGAAATTTATTAAAATATGCATTGCGGTAGTTTAAAAGTGAAGTGTGTAATTTAATGTGATGTTAAAATGCTTTCACCCCAGGTTAATATGCAGAGAAATCTAAAAGAAGTCGATTTCACAAAAAAAAGTGTTCTGCTGCTATTAAAACATTAGGCAGCCCAACAACAGAAACACCAATGGTGTTTGTTTGGGGGCGGGGCTATCTGTGTGTTTGACCAATTACAGATGAGGGGTGTGTTGAGGAAACTTGTTCGAAAACAGTCAGCATTTTTGCAATTCTCACTTGGTGGAGAAATTACACACTTCACCCTTAAGTGTGATTCAGTGAATTCATCAAAAAATAAATATCAAATTGGAACTTCTATGAAATCGAGAAGTATGCTATTTTGAGAAATTAGCAACTGGTAAGAAAGTTGTTCATATGTATTGCTCTAATTCTTAATGTTATGCTGTTTACATGACATACAACAGTCTTGAGAACTGTTATGGACTCAAAAGCCGTACTTCAGGTAAGCTCTGTGAACTACAGCACAATAAACATTTGTAGAGTTGTGTTTTCGGCCACCACTGTGTGGCAAGTTGCATATGCAGTACTTCCTCCAGCGTAGTTAGTTGTTAAAAGGTACAGTCGAGGTGAAATCAGTGATTAGGAACAAGCTTGAAATTGTCTATATGGTGCTCTAGGCTGGCACCCCATCAGAAAGAACATCTGACAGGTACAGTTCTTCCATTTCTGGTGAATGCCTACGTGTTCACTTGGAGAAGGTACTTCCGAGGAAATGAGACAGAAAGCTGGTGAAAATGTAGTGGTCCTAGGAGCACGTTTCACCTCCCTCTACATGCTGGCCCAGACTTCTCTGTGGCTCTGAATTTCTGTCAGATGATGTTTAAAATATGGTGCAGGTTTTGGACTTTCCTCCCTCTCCACCATCCTCACCAGCGGCTTCAGTGAAGAAAAAAATAGACGACAGAAAATCAAGTTGCTGCAAAGTTATGACCGTTCCCCCAAGGCCATGAGGTCGGATTAGCACAAGGTATGCCATAAACATTTTCAAAAGGTTCAAATATGTAGAATCTGGGTACTATTATGCACCCTTTAGGGGTAAGTAAGGTACAAAAGTGTACCTTTGGAAAGGGTCTCTTTTTTTTGCATCCCTTGCCATTTTCTGATCTGCTTACAGGGATAGTTCACCCAAAAATGAAAATTTTGTCATTAAATACTCACCCTCATGTCGTTCCAAACTTTGCTCATCTGCGTTCAAGAATTGTTGATTAAAGTCGTTATTCTTGTTTTCTTTGCACACAGAAAGTATTCTCGTAGCTTCGTAAAATTACGGCTGAACCACTGATGTCACATGGACAATTTTACAGATGTCCTTGCTACGTTTCTGGGCCTGGGAATTTTTCAGTTGCGTTGCATTGTTTCTGCGCGCAGGGTCAGAAAGCTCTCATATTTCATCAAAAACATCTTAATTTGTGTTCCAAAGATGAACGAAGGTCTTACAGGTTTGGAACAACATGAAGGTGAGTAATTGATGACAGAATTTTAATTTTTTGGGTGAACTATCCCTTTAATCTACAATCCCTGTCCACAAACGAACAAAAAGATGTCAACTATTGGGTCCAACATACCTTTTTTAGCCTGCTCCTCTTCTAGTCGTTTTCGTTCATTCTCTATAGCGTCTACTTTTGCTTGATAAATATCAGCCAGCTCCTTCCAATGGACCCTGTTGTTGTTCAGGCCATCGAACATGGGAGTGATCTCTTTGTGGAACCTTGAAAATTCCTGTACGAGAAAAGAGGCCTGTTACTGCAAGCATTGACAAGCACACCAGTAACTGCCAATCCAGCATTCCCTGTCAGAAGTTCAGAACACTTAAGCAATGTTGTGCTGACATGCCAGGAAGAGGCCATTATGGACAGATGCCCCAATTACATGGATGTCTGGATTGTGCAAAACAAAATTGATTGACAGTTGGGTGGATTTACCTTGTACACAAACGAGCACACGAAGTCAATGAAACCACACTGCATTTTCGGAAGTTCATCCGACTTGTTCCTGTCCATCATGGGCTGAGAAAAGATTCAAAGGATACGTATTCTCATTCAAGCACTACTTTTATCACAATGCGACCTTTCTAAAAGCAAAACTGATCTCCACAAACTTACAATGGGTTGTTGGTCTAGCACAGTCCTCTCCAGGTCTCCCTGCTCCCAGAATTCAGCTGCCACCATGAGAGCCACCTTCGGATAGAGTGTGTTTAGGTTAAATGAATGTCTTTTAACCCAATGCTGGATAATCCTAGCCATGAATAACCAAAGTTGCACCTACTTTGCTCTGGACCTCCCATGGCTTGGTAATGGCAGACAAGTCACATCCAGTCATCATCATTGCCCTGTTTGGAATCAAACACATGTTCATACAATTCAGTATGTTCTCAAGTAGCAGGGTTCTACTGAGAAGTGATGCTTACATAATGATTTCCTTCCTAATGGGATTGTTGGACACATAGGCAATCGCTTCCTTCTCATCAGCCATTGGTTCGGTGGCATCGACGATCTTCTGGAACATGGTCCTTTTTCTGGGTTGGGAAGAAAATGGGATCATCATCAATACGATATGTTTAAGAGTGTCTCTAGGTGAAGGCATGCTCTTGAGAGCTTACTTGAAATACAAGGCCAGGTCAGTCGCAATGATACAGACATCGTGCAAGTGCTGGACTGTCTCAAACTGGCGTTTCTGCAGACTTTGGAAAATGTTAACGCTCTGTAAAAAAAGAGCCACAAAATAAAGTTGACCTGGCTGTCATATTGAGCTCTGGAACACTTTGTGCTTTATGACATAACAAACCTCTTCTGCCATCAGCGTCTTGCTGTAATCAAGATGGTGCCTTTCCAAGATGGAGGAGCCATGGAGCTTGGCCAGTGGTGATGTGCTCCTGCATTGGAAATGGATTGTGAGTAAAATGCCTTCTGTGTCTTTTTTGAAAATATTAGTAGTAAAAAATATATATGCTAAATTACTTTGTCTGGTAGAGATTGTTGGTACCCCTGTGGTCAATGTCGTGACAGAATGCAGCCGCTACCATCGCAAAGGCATCAAGGTCGGAGTAGTATTTTCTTAGCCTTCCAGTCTTTTGGGAAAGCAAACAATATTCAGTGTTACAGCCTCTTTGGTGGCAAATAGCATGATGTGTGGATTAAAAAACGTACTTGCAGAAGACAGAACATGGTCTGGCCCACGTTAAACCCGTGTCTCCAGTTATGGTAGGTGATATCTCTGTAGCCTTTTCGTACAGTGTACATCCATTTTGTCAGGACCTGGAGCAAGTGTAGACCCAAAAAAATGTCATCCCAAAACTGAAGGAACTACATGAAAGTCCAATAACAGTTGACATGTAATTCCTCATTTACAGATTTGTTGCCAAACAGTTGCATTCACAGGCCCAGATTTTTTTTTCCATAAAAAAAATGGAAGTTTGTGAATGGTGGACATCTGATTTCTGTGGAAATCTGCTGAGCTTTCTGGGTGAATCTGGTAATCGCTAATCACCTGCTAAAAATAAACACAGGCTCTAGTAATAAGATGAGTGCTGCTTGGAAAATTAGCCTTGAGCGATTGTTGCACTACACATCCATTTATATGTATGTGAATGCTGAAGACCGGCAACACAGACCTCTTCTGAATTAAAAGCACACTAACTTTAAGGCTGCAAATGTGCAGTGTTGCAGGAAATTGGTGTATTTTTATAGTTTGGATTTATTATTATTTGTTAAATTGATGCGTTTAAATAAGATACCACAGAGCATGAAATCACATCACGACTGTTGCACTGTTCAAAGAAATACAGTATACGGTAGTTTGACCGCCCCAATATATTATTTTGGAAATGATCGTAAAGTCCAGTCTCACCTCTGCTGGCACTTTGAACTTCTCTACCACTCCAAGTTCAAAGAAACAGCGAATGCCACACTTGATAAGGTCAAGCTCAGAGACAGGCAAGTCACTAAAACTAAATAATAGCAGATCGACATCTTTGGCTTCTGGAATGTTGGCTCTCTGTGTATTAAAATACAAGTAGATCAATTTAAAAAGTCATGTTCAACATTTAAGATCAATAATATGTTCGCTATGAATATATTGGTTCAGAGTAAAAAAAAAGTCATACCAAGAGTTTGTACATTTCTCTCTGATCGCAGTCCTCAGGGTTCATGTCAAACTTCTCCTTCGTGTTCTAACGAGCCAAAATTTTTTTAGTTAACATAATAAAGACTGCAGTTTCTTTAAAGCATGAGCTTGTATGATGCCTCACCAGAATCTGTTGGACTTCAGCTGGGGTGGCTTTGGTCTGGTACATGACCATTTCCGCTGCAATCTCTCTTCTCCACTCTGTCCGATTCAGTTTGTCATATGTGTCACAATTCAGTACAGACCATCCTAGGAACTGTGTTAGGGCCTAAAACAAAGTCAGAAAACCACATTAGTGTTGCAGCACAAGATTAAAAGGGGCTAACGGGATGGTGACCATTTAACGACTCACTTCAGTAATTTGTTCATCCTGCTCATCAAATGGCTTGCCATCTTTCCGATTGAAGAAAGTGGCAACACCCACAATTTCTTCTTTCTTGTTGACAATAGGAAGGGACAGGACGTTTTTGATGACGAAACCCGACTCGTCCACAGCTTCTTTCTGAAGAGTGAAGCAATTAAAAGAGTGGTATTTACATTCACCTTGTCAATAACCTAATCAAAATGATGACTAAAATAAATGTTTTCTGTCTCAGTTTGAAGGTTACAGGTTTGTGTCTATTTCATGTGTGGATCAGGAACAGTATGAGCTCTGAGAGGGTTTATCCTGGAATGGATTACAGTACCTGGAATGTAAAGTAATCATCAGCAGCAACATTCATCATGTTACAAATCTGGAGAAAGAAAAATAAAGCAAGATTTCCCTCAGTCAACATAAGCGAGTATGGTCACCCTAGATAATACAGCAAGTAGTCGTTTACCCCATTGAGTAGCTCATTTAACTTGGGTTAAGTCACTGGTCTCAAACTCAATTCCTGGAGGGCCACGGCTCTGCACAGTTTAGCTCCAACCCTAATCAAACACACCTGATCCAGCTAATCAAGGTCTTCAGGATCACTAGAAACTTCCAAGCAGGTGTGAGTTGGAGCTGGTTGGAGCTAAACTCTGCAGAGCTGCGGCCCTCCAGGAATTGAGTTTGAGACCTCTGGGTTAAATAGTTATTTAACCTGGGACATTTTTAGAATAAGTGTTTGTACAAGGGCACTGGTGAAACCAGAACTGAGCTTTAACCATTTTGTCACACAAACATTATTAAACAGAATTTTTGAATACCGTACCTTTACTATTTCATAGTATTAGATTTTAAGAAAATACTTTGGACTTACAAAGCCATTTTCAGCCACATAGGTGGGGAGGCCGCTAACAAGTGCCCAGTGGTCGACAGGAGGAGTTCTGGAAGCAGAAACATTCAAATGAGAGAGGCTGGTAAGCTAGTATGCTATATGGGCAAAAGTATGTGGACACCCAATTACGGCTACTCTAATACGTCTGTTGAACTGCTAGATAATGCAACCATCAAATCAGCCAATCACATGGCAGCAATTCAATGCATTTAGGGATGTAGACATGGTCAGGCGATCTGCTGAAGTTCAAACCGAGCATCAGAATGGGGAAGAAAGTTGATTTAAGTTGGTTAGATGGGCTGGTCTGGGTATTTCAGAAACTGCTGATCTACTGGGATTTTCTCACACAGTCATCTGTAGGGTAGCCTATATAGAGAATGGTCCAAAAGAGAGAAAATATCCAGTGAGCTGCAGTTCTGTGGGCAAGAAGGTTGCCTGGTATGGTAAGTCTCGATTTCTTCTGTGACATTCAGATGGTAGGGTCAGAATTTTATGACATGAAAGTATTGATCCATCCTGCCTTGGGTCAGGCTGCTGCTGATGCAGGTGGTGGTGTAATGGTGTGGGGGATATTGTCTTGGCAAATTTTGGGTCCCTTAGTACCAACTGAGCATCATTTAAACACCACAGCCTACCTAAATATTGTTGCTGACCATTTCCCTCCCTTTATGACCACAATGAACCCATCTTGTGGTGGCTACTTCCAACATAACGTGGCATGTCACAAATCTCAAATCATCTCAGACTGGTTTCTTGAACATGACAATGAGTTCACTATACTCAAAATGGCCTTCATAGTCATTAGATCTCAATCCATTAGAGTACTTTATGTTTGGGATGTGGTGAAACGGGAGAGTCACATCATGGATGTGCAGCCAACAAATCTGCAGCAGCTGAGTAATGCTGCCATGTCAATTTGGACCAAAATCTCTGCGGAATGTTTGTAGCACCTTGTTAAATCTATGCCATGAAGAATTAAGCCAGTTCTGAAGGCAAAACCCGGTATTGGTAAGGTGTACCTAATAAAGTTGCTGGTGAGTGTATGTGCCTGTTTAGAATTTCCCTTCAAAACTATAGGCATTAATAGAGAGTGGTCTTTCTGAAAAAATTCCAATAGATCAGCTTTTTGGGTTCCTCAAAGAACCTTACAGTGAACAGTTCTTAAAATAACTATTTTTCGTAGTGTGAAGAAGAAGAATCTAAAGAACCCTTTGTGCAGTTGAAAAGGTTCCATGGATGTTAAAGGCTCTTTATGGAACCATAGATGCCAATAAAGAACCTTCATTTTTAAGATTGAACGGTGTTCATTTGGGTTCAGGTCTGGTTCAGGCCTTGTGTACAGTTCTGTTTATTTACTGGAATAGCCAAACCTATTAGAAAATGGTGTCCAGATAGTGTTTCCCATGTAGTGTATGTGGTAGAATATGACTTACGACATTTGAGTTTTTACAATATGAGCAAAGAACGTGTTTTTATGCATTAAAAAAATTATGCTTACGGTATGACTTTGATCTCTTCTTTGCTCTCTAAGAGATAATCAATGATCTTGTAGAAGTTGATTTCCTGTTAGAAGATAGAAGAAGTTGTAATAATACTAGACAGCAATACTGACTTGTTTACCGAAGAGAAACAAATCTGTTACCCTGCCGTCAGGTGTCTTTGGGCCTTTGTACGGCTCCACATCTCCCAATTTAACCGGCCACTCATCGTAGAACTCCTAAACAATCAAAGCAAGGTTGAGTGTTTTCATGAATCGCTGATCAATGACCAAATGGAGGATGATCACCATATGTCACAAACCTTTTCTTTGGTCATGTCCAGAAGGCCGACAGAGTACCTCTCGCACTGGAGGTAGGTCCTGACGGTGTACAGGGCCTTGTGAAACTGTCGCTCAATGTCCGTCAACTCTTCAAACACTTTGCTCGCAGTCCATAGAAGAACCTGTGGCAGCAGTTTACAGTCAGAGTCAAGATCCAAATCACAGTCAAATATTAAGTGTTGTAGTCCGTAGCATTACCTGGCTTCTTCTAGATTCCACATTATACATGTATGAGGTGTAATGCTGTAGGGCAATGACTGTGGCGAAGGTGATGTACTTGGAGAAGAGCTGAAAAACATTTGTAAAACATTTACTTGATAAAAAAAGTGTCTATGCTTATACTGACAAAGTGAAATTGCAGTCTTAAAAAGGTCCGTTCACACCAAGAATAACTATAAAGATAACTGTAACTTTAATTATATTAGCATACACACCACAACGTTCTGTTTATTATAAGCGCATGCTGCAGTTTTGTCGTCTGCCGCTTTAAATGCTTGTGAGTCGGGTGAATTCTAATTGGCTGTCAACGTTTTAATCGTTCAGTTGGGAATAAAACCAAGCGGCAACCTCCCGCTCTCTCTCCAGCTCCCGCCTCTTTGCCCATCTTCGATTATCCGGGAGTGACGCGCGGTGACGCACTGCCAAGATGGCGACGGCCGCCTCCGCCCACTTTTGAGCTTAAAAAACTCTCTTCGGAACCCTACGGGTGACGTCACGGACACTACGTCCATGTTTTTATACAGTCTATGAATAAAACGTTTCTGGAAGAAATCCAGTCTCGTTAGTCTCGTTAGCGTTATAGTAGTGGTGTGAAGTGTGAACCTCATAGAATAGGGCAAATAATCTGATCAATCTGATTCAGCACAAATTTGAGGTCAGCATCACATGATTTCTGCTTTGCAGCTGTAGGCCCATAGTGACCGTTTTAAAAAGATTTTCACACCGATGTCATTTTTCAGATACTCACGTCTTCATCTGCTTTGGAGAATTCATTTCCTCCCACTTTGTTTATTACCATGACCACACCAAGTGGGTCTTTCCCGTTCATGAGAGGGGCAGCCAGCATGTTTTTAGTGGTGTATCCTGTTTGCTTGTCCACAAAATCACTGAATTTGGGATTCTAAGGAACAAATACATTGGTTAATGTTCCATACAGCTGTTTCATAATGCACTGGTTGAAACAGAAATGGGTTAAAACTGCTTAATACAAAATATCCATTAATTCCTCCACCATTTTAGCCAGTAGGCTACAGCATGTTTGCTTAAATTACAAAATGATAACATTTCTGTACATAGAATAAAAAATGTGAAACATATTTTCATATTATTAATATATATATATATTTTCAAACTCGAAAACTTAAGAACTGTTTCTAAATTAGATGTTTTAATCAGTCATAATAAGGGCTGCATCTATTAATTAAAATTATCTCTTTAGATAAGGCATTTGGATTTGTTCTCTTGTCACTGAGACTAATTCTACCTAAATTTACACTTCTGTGTTATGAAGGTTAATAGATTTAACCCTGTCTCGGCCACTTAAGCTGAGGTTGCACTGGTGTGCCATGATTAAACACCATGCTGGTATTTATAGCATACGTATCCATCTTTAATTATGTTTTATTATCATACTACTCATATAATGCATTGAAGGCTGTATGGATATGCTGGATGATATCAAATGTGTATCATGTTCTATAGTAAAGTACATTTTGTTTGGTAAAACTTTGGTATTTGACATTTTATTGTAGATTGAATGTATAAAACTTTGCAATGAATATAAATATGTAACATTTTTCTCAGCAGTTTTACCGTTGGCTTATTTAGAAAGCATATAAAGAGTAATTCTCACTTTCACAGTTTATTTTCATAAGTAATTATTCTTAATTATGAGTTAACAAGTGCTGATGCTTTGGTTAAAAAAAAAACTTGACAGGACAGTCATTTGTTGCTAAATAATATCAAGATGCAGCAGGCTATCAGGAGCAGAGAAAATAAGCAGCTTTCCTGCAGGGGGTTGACTGACCTCCACGGTCACCACGGGACAGAAAAAGTTTAATCCTTTGTCAAACGAATAGTCGACTTTCAGGTAACAGGCCTGCCTAATAAACCTAAGAAGATGATTTGCTTGCAACTTACCGCGTGTCTTTTTATAAATGAACGTGTGCAAAGCATATTAGAGCACTATAAAAAGCAAAAACACAGCTCTTGCTCTATAACCTAAAAAGGCTTTCCCCTCTGTAAGCTAATGTCATTTGGTTAATTCAGTCATATTAACATAATAATAATGTTTTTGACTATAATAATGCCAGTTATTTTAGCCGGCACCACGTTAAGAACATATTTTGAGTTGCTGACAAAACATGTTTGTTTAATGTGGATGATCTGCACAGGCTGTCATCTATTAAGAATATAAAAACAGTTTAATGGTCTTTTTAAAAACGGGGTTTCTGCAGTTCTACACACAATTTACACAGACGATACATAGCTATATGCTATTTGAAAAAAAGGAGGAGGATTTGCATGAAGTTAAAGTGGTATAACTTTATGTTTGTATGCAAAATAACAATACATTGATTATAGATACGTTTTATTTACCCTGTTTATTTCTTTGCTCCAAGTATTGTGGCATTTAAAAATTAGAAAATTTGATCTCAATCCATAAAGCAGCTGAATGCCTTCAAACTCTATAAATTACTTGCAATGTAACCCCCTTAAGTTGAAATTAATTTGTTATAATTTGCTTGTATATATTTTGGTATTAATTATTTGTAAATTATTTTGTTTTTAACTTTTTTTTTATTTTAATTCATTTGATACATGTAATATTTTTTGCAGAGCTTTAATAAAGGTTAAAAGGAGAGCTATAAAAGACAGCTTTGCCTCTTTTACTCACCTGTTTGACATCGGGAACATTAGCTGGTTTTTTGGTGGTCACTATTTGGCCAACTATGCCAATGTCAGTAGGGAAGACAATTTCAGATTGAGGGTTGACCAAGTTTGCCTCGTATTTCGAGGTAGGGGTGACATCGAAAAGACACGTAGCGAGCTCAGGGATGCCGTTTCTGGCTCGGTATATGAAATAGCTGCAGCGGTCTGCGTTCACCAGCATACATATCCTCTGCAGGACCTTGTGCATGGCCTTTTCCATAATGGGCTGCGAATGCATTTCTTTGATCATGTCAAAGATGATGGTGGCCTCCTGGATTTGGCTGACATCCTTGAACGAGGCCGGATCTTTGATGTCAAGGTTCTCGGCAAAAGCGGCGGCGATGACCTCGCATCGGACATTCTTGTCAAAATACTCTTTGGCAAACTGAGGGTTATTCTCCAAGTATTTTTCAACACTATCCTTGTCTGCCATTTTGAAGTGTGCTTCTCTGCTCGTCCTCTCACAGATTCATTACTTGTGGGGAGTCAGGATGAAAAGTGAAGCTTCTCAGTGATACCCTCCTTCAGATAGGTGCATCCTCCAGAGCAGAGATCAGTGCAGGTCTCCTCCGACAGGCTGCCAGAGAATAGTGTCTTACAGGCTGAAGGGATCAAAGTGGCTGCTAATTAAAGTGACGTCATGACATTAAACCCCTAAGCTTTCTTAACCTGCAAATCCCCACCATGATCATTTCATGTTAGACAATCCAGTCGGAGTCAAACACCTCTGTTTTCTCCTGTGGAGAAAGTGTCGGTACACGACATGATATTTGTCACATTGGTTTGTCGATTAGACTGATAGTGTTTCCGATCTAATACACCAGTGTTTATGGGTCCATTGAGCCCAGTATGCACACAGGGACAGCGTCTCTTATATATGCTTATAGCACTTGCTTAAAATCATAATATTTTCTACATAAATGGACAAGTGATATGTCAGTCACCTGAATGCAAATGTCTTGTAAGCATTGTCCTTATTAAACCTAGCTCTCAAGCTCTCCGAGTAAGAAAATAAATTCTCAGAATTGGGCTATTATTAGCAGTTTTTTACAATTTCTGCACCCAGAGAAGATGCTGGACACCCAGGATCTATTTCCAATGATAGGATTAGACCTGATCTGTCAGTCTGCCAGATGTATAGAAGGATCTGTCTCCTTTTTCTCTGATGTCGTGGAAGTGTCAGGCATCCAGAATGTAAAAAAGAAAAATACTTGCATCATATGTACCTGGCTTTGTAAATCCAGGATTAAGTAAAAGTGATTATCAGGATATCCTCTCTTGAAGGGACAAAGCCTGGCTTGGCACTTCAGAGCGCTCACACGTTTAAGTTCACAGCAAGGAGCCGACAGACAGAACAATGCTAAATTTACCACACTCACCATTAATTTAATTGGATGTTGATTGATAAAATATCACACATGCAATGTGTTAAATAGCCAACTGTGTATGTAGAACCTCATATGCCTGCATGTGAACAAAAACAAACAAATGCGTTATGTATTTATTGATGGACTTTGAGCAGACAAGTGCATGGAGAAGGTTTAGAGATATTAGCTTATTTTGAGATCTCTTCACCTCAGGCTTGCAGTAAAGTCTTGAGTTGTTGAGACCCTAGGGTTGGGTACCGAAACCCGGTACCAATATGGCACCGGTACCTATGTAAACGGTATGTACTAGAACCGAATCAGAACGCAGATTTTGGTGCCATGCACGAGCGATCGACTGAAATATTTGTCCTCTGGTTCTCTGAAACGAATGTAAGAAGCATCATCACCGGCACTCCGACTTAAACGCTCAACTCAGGAAACGAGAGCATCCGAGGAGTGCGTGAATTAAGTAATTACACTTGCTCTGATGGCAGCAGGTAGCCTTTCGTTAACTAAGCTAAACATGCTTAAATTAAAATGCCTAAAGCTAAGCTTCCCTTTTATTCACATTTCTAAACTTGTTGTCCAACAAATGAGAACATTATAACCTTCAAAACGTTAATATGTTCTGTTTACTCAGTTACAGCTATAATATCAATGTCTTTGTCCATATAAGGGATTTCCTGGAGGGTCATGAGTTCTGCTGTGTCTGGATATGTGGAGGGCGCCCTCTGGCGTCCAGTATGAATGAAACAGAAATTCATGTGTTTATAGTGCTAATGGCCAATCCATCATTTTGGGGGAATTTTTATTTATTTGTTTTTTTAATAAGTATCGGTTCAGGCACCGTTTAGACACCGGAACCGTTTTAAAAGTATCGATTTGGCACCGGTATAGAAAAAAACCCAAACGATACCCAACCCTATTGTTGACACATATCTGTGCTGATACATGCAAGACAATATCAGCAGTCCATCAGCATCACCCAGTTTTCTGATATTTACCTGCTCATTCCCAGACAAACAACCAAAAAGGATCACCATTTGTATGTCAAATATTGTCTGCTGCACTTCAGCCTAAAAGAAAGATCTAATGAGCTGAGATTAGGCTTAGTCAGCTTGATATCAAGATCTGGTTTGCTTAACTTGTATTAGTAATGTTGCAAATAAAGCATTGGAAGATTTAATAGCATTTGTTTACAAACCTCCCATAAAAGTTGTAGTTGCAGGACCATTTTTCATTTTCATTATTGTTTAAGATAATAACAGATAATGTTCAGTCAGCTGGTCATTATCATAAAATAAATGTGGTGTACCAGCTGACCAGTACTTTATCCTGTTGTTTTACATAGATGCTTACTAAATGAATAAATGAATGCAGTGGTAAATTGAGTTTATCCGGCGTAAAACATGTGCCAAATCGGTTGTGCGGAACCCCTGATAAAAGGGAGCAAGCCGAAAGGAAAGAGAGAGAGTGGTAAATTGAGTTTAAATCATTTTATATATATATTTATATTTTTTTATATTATCATATATATATATATATATATATATACTTACCATTAAAAATATAAATTTCTTTCAGAAATACAAAATAAATCTTACTGACCTTAAACTTTTGAATGTTAGTGTAGGTCAAACAATGTTTTGCTGCCATATGTGCCATTTTGTAACAAGTTACATAACTTTGTCTCTTTCTTTTAGTTTTTCAGAGCAGGGGAATTTAGGTCACCTGGAGTTGTCCCTCAACTGCATAACTTACGTCAGTGCAACTGTTGGCTCCAAATAAGTCCTGAAAAACTCAACAGAGGTTATTTAAGAGACAGCAAATTTAAGTTTCCTGTACATGTTTAGGTGCTGATTGAACAAATAGAACATAGAAGGAGAACTGGACTTTGATTTGCACTTAGTTCTCTGTTTTCAATAAGAAAAGACCAAAATTCTTTCATTTTTATTCATTTAGTCTCTTTCAAAAGAATGAAAACCAGCCTTGAACAGCTACAGAGTGAATTCATGTAAGTTGGCAAATGGGAGACAATTTGATACTATTACAAACCTGAATACACTTTTAAATGCGGTTTTACAAATGCTAGAGCTGTGGCTTTCAAAATACCAGATTGCTATCAAATAGCACACCCAGATTCCCGACTGAAGATGAAGATTTGACAGAGCAGCCATCAAGTATTAGAGAATATTCATTGCATTTGGACTATGCATTCAATTAGTTTTGTGAATTGCTAGGTTTTGTTAGTTAGGTCGCAAAGAAATATAGAGCTGAGTATCATTAGCGTTACAGTGAACCAACAATTAACACCATGTTTTCTAATAATATCTCCCAAGGGTAGCATGTACAGGGTGAAAAGCAAAGGTCCTAGTACTGAGCCATGTGGTACTCCATAGTGAATTTTGCTACAAACTGATAACAGTCAAATAAATACAATTTGAACCAAGCCAATGCAGTTCCACTAGTGCCAACATCATTTTTGCATCTATTCAAAAGACATTGTGGTCGGTAGTGTCAAATGCAGCAGTAAAGTCTAGTAACACTCAAATGTATTAGTGTCAAATGCAGCAATAAAGTCTAGAGAGATACAACCATAACTGGGTAAGTGCAAGTCATTTGTAACTCTAATAAGAGCAGTCTCGGTACTGATTTGGTCTAAAACCTGACTGGAAATCCTTGCAGATACCTAGGATTCTGCCAGTTCTAGTGTTTTTTGAAAGAGAAGGGAGAATCAAGATCAGTCTTGTAGTTAACTAATTCTCTAGGATCAAGTTGTATTTTTACCTAATGAGAGGCTTTTCAAGCCAGCTTGAAAATGTTTGGGATATATCCTAATGACAATGATTAAATAATAATAATATTAAGAAGAGGGTCTATGATTTCTGGAATTATCTCTTTCAGTAGCTTATTTTGTATAGGGTCTAATATACAAGTTGTTTATTTTGATGTTTTAACAAATATAGACAACTCTTCCTCTCCAATAGCGAAAAATAAATGGAATTGTTCCTCAGGGGATCTATAGTGCACTGTCTTATGTGATACTGTAGCTGATGGCTGCATGGGTATAATATTCTCTCTGATGGTATTAATCTTGCAAGTAAAGAAATTCACATAGTCATTGTTGAAATGCTGTTTGGAAATCTTTTGATCTATTTCTCGTTAATGTAGCCGCTGTATCAAATGAACACATCGGGTTACGTTGTTTTCTTCTAAAAGAGTTGAAAAGTAAAGCAGTTTTGAGGGCCTTCTTTAGGCAACAATCACTACCCTTCCATGCAATTTGAAATACCTCTTGTTTTCTTTTCTGCCTGCTGTGCTCTTTTTTTCTGGGGCTGCTCTCTTTAGGGTGCAAGTGTGATACAGTACCATTTTTCTATTGCATTGTTGTAAAAAGCCTCTTTTAAAAGCTTTATATTTAAGAGTGTAAAAAGGTTCTGTGTTCACCGAACAGAAATGTTCCCTTTTGAAGAGGCTTCAGGGAATGTAAGAAAAACACTTTAGGTGATGAGCAAAGGTCAACACTACTGTGTTCCCTGTGAATACCTGAATCACAGCTGTTGTGTAAAAATTTTGTCCAATGACAGGGATGGTGGAGACTGAATTTGGGGTCTTTGGGTGGGATTATGAAATACCCCCAGAAGCGCGTCCCTGTATAAAAACACCTCGCAGGAATCCAGCTGCATCACTACAGATACATTTCAGATACTGTGATCAAGGTACTTGAGCATTAGGATTTGTTTAAAGGACAACAAAGTAATAAATTTTTTGGTCTTCTCATAACCGTTGTACTCATTTTTCACAGCTCAAGCACAGAAGCAGCATGCTCAGGCTTTGCATAGCTCTCTGTGTCCTGGCGACATGCTGGGCACAGGACTGTCTGGTGAGCAACATCACCGTCAAACAGGACTTTGACAGGATGAGGGTAAGTTAACCAGTGTTTTTCTTCTTTCCATACGTTGATTTTGAGCTTTCGTTCCTCATATTTGTCCATCGACCTTGCAGTATCAAGGAACATGGTATGCCGTGGCCAAGAAAGACCCCGTTGGGCTTTTCCTTCTTGATAATATTGTCGCCAATTTCAAAGTGGAGGAGGATGGAACCATGACAGCCACCGCCCTTGGAAGAGTCATAATTCTCAAGTGAGTTTAAATGGCATTTTATGCTGTTGTGGCGCAAAAATTGTACTTAGGCAATGGAAAGGATTCTATTTTCACATGCTGTTTTAAACTTCAGCAATTGGGAGATGTGCGCCAACATGTTTGGCACTTTTGAAGATACAGAAGACCCTGCTAAGTTTAAGATGAAATACTGGGGAGCCGCAGCATATCTCCAGACTGGATGTAAGTGTACATTAATCATATATAATTGTATATTATTATATATGTTGCTACATAAAAAGTTCAACAGGTAAAATTCAACAGGTTAAAAACTGATCTTGCAAAAACTATGCAAATGGTTAGTTGATTTGTTTGTATATGTATTTTTATTTTATTATATAAATTAAAATATGTAATATATGTATATATTTTCAATTGATATATTTAATATAATTATTTAATAATCTTTAATAACATTTTTATTTATTTTTAATTATTTAAAATGTATATTACATTATATACATATACATATGTAAATTATTTCAATAATTTAATCATCTTTTAAAACCTCTTTTCTTTATTTTTGATATTATGATATATATATCATAAAATTTATTTTATAATATATATATTTTTGGATGACTCAAACGCAGATGTATTGTAAGCATGGTTCTTATTAAACCTAGCTTGTGAAATGTGATTAAATCATATGTTACGTAAAAACCCGACAGCTCATCTGCTCATGACCTTGTCTCTGACCGTTCCACAGATGATGACCACTGGATCATTGACACCGACTATGATAACTATGCCATCCACTACTCCTGCAGAGAGCTTGATGTGGATGGAACCTGCTTGGACGGTTATTCCTTCATCTTCTCCCGATATCCTGATGGCCTGAGGCCTGAAGACCAGAGGAATGTGACGGAGAAGAAACAGGACATCTGCTTCCTAGGCAAATACAGACGCGTTGCACACACTGGTAAGATGGTTGAGCCTCATAAATGATTATTATTTAGATTCACTCATAAGTTCTAAATGTGCTGATGTGTTTTTACTTTTTTCATTATGCAGGTTTCTGTGACACTGCCTAAACGACCACTACACAAAGAGCGTCGGAGGATGTAATCTGACATGTTTTATATTTTGAACAAATATGTAAATACAGTAAGCATGATACTTAATAAAAGAGAATGCACAATTTTGCACAAAGCAAAAGGAAAAATGTTTAATAACAGTAAGTTGCAGGATGTAACTGTCTTTTTTTTCCAAATAAACTTGGGGGGGGGGAAAGTATAATTACTGAATTCAGTGATTGATGCTAGTAAACTCACTGTCACGAAGGTTTTATCAAAGGTTTGTTTGAACTCGTATGAACTAACAATACAAACAGAGCTGGTAAATTAATGCTTTTTGTTGACAGCTCTACTAACAAACACGTTGTGCAACTTGGACCATGATACAGAGTAACTGCTGTCAGCACACAGATTATATATCAGTCTGAGGAAATAATCACATTAAGCCAATCAGCCACTGCCATTATTAACCTTCTTTCAAAACGTAATAAACACGTTTATATTATATACAGGTACATCTATACATTTATGTACAATATTTATAAACTTGTTAATTTGCATTCTAATTAGAAACATCATGGAAAAAAAAAAGTCATTTTTAATATATATAAAAGCAGGAATTATATTTATATAGTTAAGATTTATATCACTAAAATCAGGCTATAAGATTAAATAGTTTAGATTAAACAAGTTATATAATGCATACTATAAATATATAGAAAATAATACATATGATTTCATATTTTCAAGAAATCAGATTACATTTTTGATATATGCACTAAAAATAAAAGCACCATTTAGTCTTGAAATTTCATGTTATGTAAATATGTCAACTGAAGAGCGTAAATAACCTCAGTAGGACACTGGAAGGATTCCACAAAATTATTTGGACTTCTTGTCCAGTTTTTCTCTCATATCGTTTGCCTGGTGGTAAAATAATGCATGACACTTCCCTAGAATTAGACCCGTTCTCCTCCGGCTACTGTGCTTCACTTAATCCCATCTTTAAATAGTTTAATGCAGGATTTACACATGCAGTCTAATTCAAGACAGATTTGGTTTGCAAAGTCAGTACTGACGGATGCTAATGAGTGGCTCCCAGACATCTAACACTTCAGAGGTACCATGAGGATACAAGGGCAAACTAGGAAACAAACCACACTGTCTTTTTCCATTTATTCATTCAAGTGGAGGACACAATTCAGTGAAGGACTCTGTAAATAACCTTATTTTTAGGTACAACACTGATTGAAAAAAAAAAAAAAACTGAATATGCTAAATATTGCTTTATTTATTGTATGCAAGAAAACTGCAAATAAAAGATCAACCTTGTCACCAAAAGAGAACTAAGCGGGAAAAAAAACATTAATTTTTTATCACATAAATTAAAATATTTTTTAAATATGCCCCATGTAAACCGCTACTTCTATGAATATTCTAGGAAAGTTCCTTCAAACTTTTTTTCTACTTATATTTGTTCTTCAAAATAATAATAAAACACTTGTTAATATAAAAATACTGAAACATCGTCGGCGCCAATAGCCTAGTGGGCAGTGCACAGACATATAGTGCCGTTGCGTCCCGAGTTCGAGTCCCGTCCCCCTCTCTTTCTCCTACTTCGCTTCCTGTCACTGCTATACTGTCCTATCAAAATAAAAATGCCAAAAATAAATCTTTTAAAATAAAAAATACTGAATTTTTTTTGGAATGGTGGCTACAATAAAAAGTCAAAAAGTGCCCTAAACAAAGAAGTTTTAGCACAAAGCGTGTGTTTTAGCTGAAGCAGTAGTCGAGGTGGGCTAGCAGCTCTCTGTGCTGGCTGGTGGGATATGAAGCGCCACAGTTTGGACACTCCAGGATACTCTCATCTAGTATGTTATGGACTTTAGATGGAGATGTGGTTTGATCTTCAATAGTAAGTCTTTCAAAATCCATCCTGTTATAGGAGCTGGGCTCAGAGAAGCGAGACTCTCTCTGATGTTTCTGAGGCACAAGGTCAAAACAGGCACATTATTACACAAGAAAATGACAGATACTGTATATCAATGATCATGTCAGGACACGTCACAGAATATCTCAGAACTCACGGCAGACTCCAGGCGTGTAATCTGGTCTCTGGCCTTACGAAGCTCTTTCAAAACTTTCTGCAGCTGGTGCTGTAGAGTTTGACGGTCCAGTTTATCACTTTCACATTCTTTGGCCGACAACTGGATCTATAAGATGGTCAGTGACAGTGGCTTCTTTTTTACTTATCATTTTATACATTTTCAGCAAAACTTTAAAGGGGTCATATGATGCTTTTTTAAAGATCATTATTTTTAAAAATTATATATTAAATTATAAAAATTATTTTTATATAAAAAAAAATATATATATAATATATATAATTATAAAAAAAGAATAAATTATATTATATAAAATGATTTATAAAATAATTATTTTATCAATTATTGTATAGTATTTTTGAAATTGAATGAAATTGAGAAGCGTGCTGGATGTTTCATTCACAGCTCTATTAACGCTAGTGTTACAGATGATCCAAATACCTGTTGTTCCAAAATAGCGATTCTTTTCTTCTCCTCCTGCTGATTCATCAGGGATTTCTGCAGTAGATTCACCTTTCAGAACAGAAAACATTTAGCTTTTAAACTTTTATTCATCTTTTATTTTCTAGCAGATATAGTGACTGCACAAATGAGCTGCTTCAAACTTAATTTTACAACTAACTGTGAAGTCATGAAAACACATGTGATTTATGTTGTGACCAAAATGTTCAACAAATACAACTCATAACTTTTTTTTGGTTTGTTTTAAATATAAACTTTTGACTAATAAACAATATGCATGCCTACTGCCTATGAATTTCCAGTAAAATCTCATGAGCATCTGAAGATAAGCAAAGTCTCATTAAAGTTTTTGACACTAATATAGTATTATTAAAGATATATTTTTTTTTTCAAACTGTTTGTACATCACTAAATTGCACTTGCCAAATTAAAATGCATTATGTATATTGGCATTAGATGGGCTGTTGGCCACCCTGCTCTCTAGATATTGACCATTAAAAAAGGCTGTTACTATTTATTTATTTGTTTATGATTTAACGCCATGTCAGCAGCAATGGCAATATTCATAGCAAAAACAATTCAACTACATAATTCAAACAATTCAATCAGTATTCTTTCAATACAATGTTTACAATTTTGTCTCAAAGTCAACACAAAAAAATGTAAATAAAAAAATTAAAGCAAACTAAAATAACAATAACAACACCACAAAAAATTATTATAGTCTGACAAAAATTTTAAAATTATTTTAGGAGAAACCTTTTTTTCTCCTAAAAGGTCCTAATAGTAAATAGTCCTAAAAGTACTAATATATTTTCTTAATAAAAACATTGTCTAGTACAAGTCTGTTTCAATCTACCACCCAGAATGAGGTTAACACAAGAAAAGAAGAAGAAAAAAAAAAAGTCTGTGAGCAGATTAAGAAAAATATGAACTTAATTTGAAGGGCCAAAAATGTCTTAAAGGTGGGGTAAGTGATTTCTGGTAGCCAATGTTGACATTTGAAATCACCAAAACAAACACGCCCCTACCCCCAAAAGGGTCTCGCCCCTATTTTGATAGCTCCGCCCCACACATACGTACGCAACCCAGGCAACGATTAGTTCTGTGAAACAAAGCAAAACCAATGTTACACCGTGTCTACACCAGACGCGAGTTTGCGCGGCGCGACCAAAATACTATAGAACTCATTATAACCAGTGATGTTGTCTACACCATAGATATATATACATATCTATATGGTCTACACTGGATGCGGCGCAGCACATCACGACAAATCCCCGACAGAAAACTGCTGCTGCGTTCTATTCATGACGTATTGACACAAATTTCAAATGATTTTCAACGGTCGCTTTGTCGCGTCCAGTGTACTAGACAGACTTTAGCGGTTGCGGCGCAGACACTGTGTTACTCTCCTATCGAGAATAAACAAAGCAACCTCGGCGTCCGATCGCAGGCCTTCCGAAAATTCGCTTACCCCACCTTTAACTTTCAGTTAATTTAACACTTAATTAGAATTTTTTCAAAAATGCATTTTTCAAAGTAAATGCATCTTGATTTCAAAAATGTCCGATTTTGTAAGTGAAAATAGGACAAAAATACCAAGTATCTTTTGCACTGAATGATTCCCATCTGTACCTGCATCAGTAGTTCGGCCACCCTCTTCCTCTCCTCCTCCAGCTCTCCCTGCAGTCGAGCGGTTCGCTCTGATGAACGCCTCCTCTCCTGCAGAGCCTCCCGCTCGCGCTTCCTCTCTTCCAGGAGCTGCTCCCGGGCCTGAGCCGCTTCCCTGCTCTTCTCCTCATACCTTCCTCTCAGATCCTTCAGTTCTGTCTGGATTCGGCTGACTTGGGCGCGTTCGGTCTCCAGCTCACGCTGAGCCACCTGTCCGGACTGGCCTGTGTGGCGAGAAGAGAGAGTGAATGATGCTACTGCATTAAACAGACCCTATATGACCATTTTGAGTGAGTATTTTTAAAGCTTTGTACAATCTGAACTGGCTTCTTTGTGCTGTTGTTGGAGTGCTTGATTCGCTTCATTTAGCTGCGTCTCTAACTCTTTGGTCCTGGCCAAAAAGCCCTGAACGTAGGCCTCCCGCTGCTGGTCATACACAAGCCAGTTATGGTTCTTCTCCAGAGCCTGGACTCAAAGACAGAGAGAGGAGCGACAACACATGAGTCTGGAAGAAACACCAGGAAGCTCTTATCTGAACTCTTGAGATGTGAACTCACGTCTCGCAACTGCTCCTGAACCACCGCAAGCTCACCAGACGGAACCTGTCACGACCAATGACACAAAAATATCAAAATAAACACTGGCTAAATGAGCAAAAATTCAATCGCAAAGAAGCATAATGCATCTCATAAAAAGGATAGACAAAACCTTTTACATCTTATATTTAGCAATGTTCATTTTCTTGACTGAAGATGGTGTGATTGAGTTGACCGATGAAATTAGGGTTTGCGCTTAACTGGTTAAGGGGAAAACAATATCACACAATATAGTTTATTACAGAATTTGAACAAGGAACACAAGCATAATATTTATCAAATTAAGTATCAATAAACTGTAGTATAAATATTATATTCGTAATTATAAACAGAAGAATTAGTTGTGGTCTACTAACATCAGTCCCTCAGCAGTAGTTAGGCAACTTCTCTGAGCAAGAAACTAGTTATTTGATGAAACACTGCCATCTAGTGTGTGAAGCTGGCCATGCTTTCATTTGCTTGGAAACATCCTTATGTTAAATGACAGGATATTACATAAAAAGATGAGCTCATTTTAATACGTGCATAACAAGAAAGGCAGTTCTGTTTGTATTTGCCTGTATTAAAATATAATTAATTTCTGTTATG